AGTCGGGGTTATGATCCCCCTGCAAGTCTGGCCTGCAAGGCCTCTTGGCTGAGGCGTCTCCCTGTGCTGGGCCCACTGCCCAGGGTCCCCCTCACTCTCTCCAGCTGCTCACCGCACTCGGACTGCACACGGCTCTGGACTGCCCCAGCCCCAGCTCCGGACTGCTCCAGCCTCGGCTCCAGCTCCACTCCGCCTCAGCCCGTCTGCTGCTGCTGCTCTGCCTTCAGCTCCCTGGGCTGCTTCTCTGGCCTCTCTGGCTCTGGTTGCTGCAGCTCTGCCTCCAGCACAGGTCTGCTCTGCAGGCTGCTTCTGTGACTCTGCTCCCAGCTCTGACCTGCTTCCTGGCTGCTTGTCTGGCCCCTCTGGCTCTGGTTGCTACAGCTCTGTTCCCAGGGCAGCTCTGCTCTCTCTGGGCTGTGCTCTGGCTTTGGGGCTGCAGCTCTGCTCCCAGCAGCTTAGCTCGGGCCCCTGCTCTCTCCTTAGCTCGGCCCCACTCTGTCTGACTCAGGCCATTCCAGTTCACACGGAGGACGGAGGACGGGACCCCCTCTGGCCTCCTGACTCCCTGATTAGCCTGCCCGCCCTGTCAATCAGGCTGATCTGGAGCATTGGCCTCTCCCCATTGTTCCTGGAGACAGTCAGTCTCAGGCTCCTGATTTCCCATCGACCCTTCCCCTTTTAGTGCTGGGAGCTAGCCAACCAAATCACCCCCACTGAATGTTAGTAAGGGGGCAACAGTCCCCTTACACATGTATTGCCGGAGACCCCAGGGACTCCACAGCAGTGTGTGACTAGCTCCCTGCTTGCGTTCTGTATAAGGCATTGATCTTTGGCATTTGTCTTCCTCTCTTCTGGGAGCTGTTCAAGGTGGAAGCATTGGGGAGTCCAGATAGGGTTACCATATTTCAAGTTCCCAAATAGAGAACACTGCCGGGGGGTGGGGGAGCTGGCGGGGGAAGGGGGCGCACAGTTTCTACTGTACAGTTTCTTTCTACTTTGGATAGCTAATATTTATAAATAACAAGTGTAATGACCTCAAAAATAAATGTAAATCAAGTTTAAATGTACCTCTTTACAGGCAGCCAGTCCCTTCCGACCGCGTTTCTTCCTGTTGTGCCATTTCCGGGTCTGCCCCTGCATGCAGTTCCAGGCCCCCAGGAGTTGGGTCTCTGCTCCCTGGTGGCCACACTCACCTGCTTCTCTCGCTGTCTGCTGGCTTTCTCCTCACTTTTCTGCCTCACGTATATCCCCTTCTGCAGCAATGCCCCAGACCCATGTAGTCAGTCCCAGGGAACTTCCTCTCCCTAAGTTCTGAAGGCAGCGCCGCTGCCAGCAGCAGTGCAGAAGTAAGGGTGGCAATCACGGACATTTGTTCATATTTCAAAAATCCACCTGGATGGAGATTGGAGGACCAAAAAAAGAGGTCATGTGCGGGAAAACCCAGACGTATGGTAACCCTAAGCCCAGCAGTCCTATCACCCCGGTGTTGTGATTCAGTCATGTGTGTTGAATCTGTAACCCACGCCCACTCAGTGGGAAACTCAGTCCCCCTCTGGTGGTGACTGGGCCACATAATTGGGGTTGATGAGCCTACTACAGCAATGACACCAGAACTGGGGTCATTTAGCTCTGGCAGCAAGGGCTCTTAAGGACCAGAGGTTTCCGGTTTGATCCTAGCTACTGGAGGTGATTCCCTCTAAGAGCATGGTTTTATAAGCAGTGAACCATGCAGGGGTGTGAGCAGCATGGACCCCTGAAGCTCTCTGTGATTCTGTGTGCCAGGAGCCCGATCGCTGCCCGTGGAGTCTCATGGAGAGACCTTCCTCTTGTATGCAGGTGTCAGAGCTCACTGCCCGGGTTCCAGAACCAGAGGAGAGATGGCCAGGTGCTGTAAACCACCCTCCAGATGTGGAATTGGGCCAGCTGGCAAACTGCCTGCAACGCTGCCCCACAATCACAGCACGAAGAGAACACCAGGCCAAGCCGCTGCATCGTTGCAGGAACTCTGGGTGAGCCAGAGATTAGCCTGTTGAGCCCAGTCCAGGATCTGCGATTGAGTGCACAAGGAGGCAGGTGCAGGGGTGGACCCCTGAATTGACTTAGTGTTGTAGACTTTCTTTTCCACTGAGAAAAGAAGAACAGGAGGACTTGTGGCACCTTAGAGACTAACAAATTTATTAGAGCAGTTTTTTTAGCAGATGGTGTAGTTTCTTTAGGTAATCCTCAGTGGGATCAGAGGATAATGGCCTGTAGAATGTGGTGTTAGAGAGCTGTCTAGCAGCCTCTTGGTCATATTCCAATTTATTCATGATGATGACAGCACCTCCTTTGTCAGCCTTTTTGATTATGATGTCAGGGTTGTTTCTGAGGCTGTAGATGGCGTTGTGTTCAGCATTGCTGACAAATCTGACATCAGGAATCAAAATACTCAAAAACCAGCGGGAGAACACTTTAACCTGTCTGGTCATTCAGTGGATGTGTATCTGTGTGAATTTAGTGCTCATTAATTGCTTAGATTAGGAGAACAACTTGCATCTTTCAT